TTATATAATTATTATCATTATTATAATTTACTGTTAGTGTGATAATAACAATAACAGTAAATTATTATAATTTACTGTTATTGTTATTATCGTTGTCGTCGTCATTGTTGTAATCGTACCCTTTATATAATCTTTATTATAACCTATTATAACCTATATTATTAGTATCAACATAGGCCACAGCTACCGTATGTCACATACGTTTTAATGTTTTTATTATATTACATACTTATTATTATTATTATTATTAACTTATTATTATTATTAGCATTATTATATGATTATTATTGTATCATCATTGTCATTAATTATCATTATTATTACGAGCAATACAATTTCTTTTGTTATAGGCCTAATATTACTTTGATTTTATATACAATGTTACCAAACGGTCTGAATAAAACAAACTCAACCAGGCATTTTATAAATAGGCCACAAGCCTTTAATATAACGACAGACATTTCGTGACAGCCAATTCTCATCATCAGTGACAATTACAATTCAATACTCATGTATATATGGCTATTGCATTGCACTTGCACATGGTATGCAAATTAAAAACATATTTTTATGACTAACAGGGTTGTTGCATATTAATGAAGTATCCATGAGGCTGTAAATGGCGATTCTTTGCTGTTGGTGGAAATAAAATAAATCAATTTAAATAAAGTTAATAAAATTCACCAATATGAGCGGAATTACATCCCGCATATATGAATTTATAAACAACACGAGAACGGAGCATCTGCGGGATGGGACAGGGTATTTTATACCTTATTCGAAATTTTAAACGATTTGTAAGCCAGTACAATTTTACTTTGATTTTATTATATCTGTAACAAACCCATCTAAAAACATTGACCATTTAATAATGTTTCAGTGGCAACATGGGTATTACATGAAGTTCTCGTAGAACCAAACGTCCCAAAATACATTGACTCGTTTAGAGACAACGATGGAAATTATTACGTCATTGTCCAAAGCAAAGATGATTCTGTTTCACGGCCAAGATACACCTTAGTGTATAAATGGAGTAAATATAGCAGACGCTTTAAGATTCACCAGAAGATAAAAAGCCAGTACGAAATACGTCAGTTTGAACTTTTGGAGGTAAAGTATCAAATAGACCCCTTGCAATGTTTGCACTCGCCAACATCCGAAGAGATATGACGAAATTGAATGAAAATAGAAAAAAAATATAATTTCGTAGATTTTTATTTTTCTTGTCGATTCCTAATATATATATAACTATGACCATGGAGGAAGTTTATTCCTCCATGCTATGACATGAGAATTTCATTCACGTAACTTTCGTATTTCTGGCACAAGAAAATAAAAGATAACCATCATCCGGATTTCCTACCAGGGTCGGGCGCCGCCAGCGTTTCAGATAGGCCAATGTAGTCTAAACATTGCAAGGGGGGTCTATTCAATATCGATTTATTTTACATGTGGCATTTACATGGCTGTATGATAAATGCGAATTTGTGTTGTTGCAATCAGAAATGGTGTATAACAACATTATGTAACCAGTCATAAGAATCATCATTATAACGTTGTTACATTGACTTCTGTTCCACTGTGTGTATAGAATAATAGTGTTGTACTAACGTATATTTAATAATAATAATAATAATAATAATAATAATAATAATAATAATAATAGTAATAGTAATAATAATAATAATAATAATAATAATAATAATAATAATCATAATATTAATAATAATAATAATATAATAATAAACATAATAATAATAATATTAATAATAATAATAATAATAATAATAATAATAATAATAATAATAATAATCTGAGTCACTATATCGATATAGTGATCAGTCGGAAATAGGAAAATTCAGTCCAAATAAAAGTGATGACGTCACCACTGACCGAAGTAAAAATCAAAGGCGCTGTGCGTGTTTAGATGTTAAAAAGGAGTTGCCGTTTTTGCCGTCCTCATCACCACCAACTGCATCATAATAATTGTCAGTGGCTG